ATTTTTTTGTTAAGTTGTGTTATCGGCTAAGGAATTTTCTTTTGATGGGATATAGCTAGCGCATATCCACAGATCTCGCTGTTCGCACTACAACCAGGTATCCTTACATAAACGTGTTGTCGATTTGTATGGATAATTTTTGTAGATTCTTGGCGTAACATTTCAGACCGCAGAACGCTGCAAGAAGTTCCAAATGGTTGATGTGAATTTTCTTCTGTTCTTCACTTCACCAGCCGTGTGCTTTGGTTCCATTCGAGACTGCTCCACAACCTGACAGTGAAGCATCTGAAAATATTTCCAGGTCAAAATCTGTCAATTAATTCGGATTGTTAGCGGAGTGGATGTTTTTTATCCACCATTTGAGATCTCGTGTTTGTTTATTTTAATAGTGTTTTTGGATGGGACATACGTTCTTCAAAATTTTCGCTTCCCTTTAACAAGGCTAGATATTTTTCCCTTTCTAATATTTTGTGTAGAGTGTGTCGTATTTTACAGCAGAGCACGCTGGTACTAAAGTTCTCACGAATCTTACAATGTTTTTTGTGATGAAAGGATTTCGCGCTCGAATGTATGGTGTTCTTTTTTGTTTCTGTCAGTTATGCCAATATTTTTTCCATGTCCTATATAAAACCTAGAAATTTGACCGTTTTTGAGGGAACCATAGTGGATTTCTCTTTGTTTATGATTAAACCTAGGCTTTCTAATAACTGCGATGTTGTTTCTTCGTTTTTGATGCATTGTTCTTTTGATTTGCCAATTAATAAAAAGTCTTCCAAGTTTATGACGGAAAGTAAGGACTGAGATTTTCTGCTACGGCTGTCATGATTTTAGTTAAAATAAATGGGGACATAAATTAACCGAATTTATAAAGGTTCCTTTAGAATAAAAATCTAAGATATTTTCTGTATGTTTCCTCTATTGGTATCATGAGGAATGCATCAAACCAGTCAAGAGTTGGAAAAACGTATTTTGAAAAATTATCCTTGATCCGGGTTTCCTGTTAAAAAATTTTAAAAGTATAAATCTTTTTTCACCGTTTGGTTTGTTCCTGTCCTCAAGATTAAAATAAAGAGGAATAATGAATTTATTTAAATTTTTTGAATTTAGTATAAATCTTTTTTCACTCCCACACAGCACATTATATTTCCTAAGCATTTAATGAATATTTCATTGAAAGGTTTGAAACATTTCAATGCAAGGTTCATGAAATGTTAATAAAAACAGGGAAATGTCCGCCTATAAGAAATGTTGCTGTGCAATTTTGCTGAAATATTACAGTTTAAGACACCTGCAATATTACAAATGAAGACTCTGCAATATTGAGGAAATATTTCAAAGAAAGTTAGAACCTTTTTAAAATATGAAATCAATCGTTATTTTCTAACATGTTCAACACCTTAGGATCCTAGAAAATTAAAAACTACTGCGCAGCTGTACAGGCCATGGAAACTGAGATCGACTATTTTTCTATAATATTTTAATGGAATATTTCAGCAAAATTACACGGCAATATTTCTTAAAGGCGGACATTTCCCTAATTTCAGCAATATTTCAAGGAATTCTCATTGGAATATTTCAAAATTTCAATGAAATATCTCAGAAATATTTAGGAAATATCATGTGCTGTGTGGGCTGTTTGTTTGTCTCTAAGAAAATAGGGGGAAATAAACTGCTTTTTGACAGGTGAGCATCTTTGAATTGCTCCTTTTTTAATTAATCATTCTATTGCGATTACGTGTTTGCCCTACTCTTCTATCAAGAGATTTGCCTCCTTTGGAGGGTGAGCTTGCCAAGGATTTTCGAAGAATGGAATTTTATAGCCTGTGACAGTATCTAAAATGAATGGGTCTGCAGTTATTTCTGACCAGTTATGGCCAAAGTCTTAATCTCCCTGCGATGGTACTTACCGCTCTCATCGACGTTGCTTCTCTTGGTAGTTGTTCGGCTGGAATTTCGATTTGTGCTCCCTCTGTTGAGGTGCTTTGTAGCTCTTTACGTGGGGCTTCTTGAAGTTTAAATTGTTTCCGTATGATTTTTTCATAGAGCCGCTGCTCGTTCTCGACGATGGTTTGACTATATCCTTGTTGGATCTTTCGGTTGCTTTCGCAGAATTAAGGTTCTCGAAGAAGTTTGATGAAGCAGTTTTTAGGTGATGGATATTTTTCAAGGAGTTCTTTTTTGGTGTCTTTTGACAATCCAGACTTTGAAATCTTCTCCCAAATATCTTTCAGTGTTTCGTGTATATTGGGTCCAGTTTTTTCGTTGTCAACATTATTGCCTAGAAGGTTGAGCCTGTTTGTTGTGAAACTGTCAGTGTCGTGTGTTTTTTCAGATGGGTTGTATTCGGAACTTTCCGGATTTTTGGCTTCCGCTTTTACGGTCGGGCGATTTCGTGTGTTGCCTACTTTCGTCTTTGTGATTGTCACGTCTTTCGTTTGAGCGAGAATTGTGCTTTCTTTTTTTTGGGTCGACCTCTGACGAGGATGACAATCCTGAGGAGCTGGACGAGGTTTCCGTTGATGACGAATTTTCCTCGCACAATTTGTCGAAATTGCGGTCCCGATGCTGTTTGCGAGATTTTTTCGCAATCTCACGCGACTCTAAATCTTTACTCATAGTTTTAACTTGTTATTGGAGAAATGAAACGATAACAGTTGTTGTAAGTAAACTTTTTTTAATAGCTGATCTTAACCGGATCGCACAGAAAAGCGTATTTTTGGCGCGAGCTTTAAAAAATCTGTAGATCGGATCTAGCAACCAGCATTACTACAATTGATCTAGAGGACGAAACCACGTAGAATAATTCTATGTTTTTTAATAACTTACAACATACCACTCTCGATGATTCTAGAGGTGTTGAAATTTCCAAAGAAAAAATAATTTTTTTTCTGTTATATTGTTTATGTTAAAAATTAAAAATATATATTACATATAAACTATCTTCAATAAAATGAAAAAGATTAATAAATATTTTAAAACATCTGACATATAATTTAACATGTATTGTTAAAATTGTAAAAATTTTAAAAACGAATTTAATTACCTATTATAAAATCTGCTTCCAAGCGACAAATAATATAAATTTTTCGCAAAATATAAAACATACATGATTTACTTTAAAAGAATGTTTGTAAAAATAATTTCCTGCAACGAGAAGCATATTTCGACAAGACATTGGCTAATTGTAAGTGTCACTTAAAACTCCGCAAATACGATCGTTCGAAGCATCCGCCTGATTCTAAAATTTAACATATTAAAATAAAAAATTGAGGAATCTTTCTGAAAATTTACGGAAAACTTCTAAAAATAGTAATAAACAAACGTCTCACTGGAAGTTTGTTAAACAATAAAATTCCCCACAGACTGTTTGACGGCAAAGATAAGGGACTGTGATTATTGATCAATCTGTCTCTATTAACAATTAAATCATTATCAAATGTTTAATTTTTTTTTTTTTTTTATGAATTGACAGTAGCAAGCACTATTAGCAAGTGATATAATAAACCTTGGTTTTAGTGCAATAGTTGTTTTCGAACACATATCGTCTTCAAGGTAATACTTAAAACACTACTTTATTGTTTCAAAAACTTTAATTGCGTTTTTCTCAAATCGTGTTTTTTCGCTCGCCGTGCAATGCAACTCAGCCAATTTTTAACCGATATTTATGAACCTTACCAGAAATCTTCTTTAACTTACTGGCTATTGGATGACGAACTCCTTTTTTTAAAAATTTTAAACAATTTTTTTTGTAGATTGTTTATAAAAAAATTTATTTTTTTTCAAAATAATTCCAAATTTTCTAAAAAAAATTTTTTAATTTCCTCTTCATCATGCAAAGCGTATTTGTGTATTTTAAGGAAAAAAATTTTATTTTTATTTTGGTTGAGATTTGAGACCAGTGGGCTGCACGGCGCAAAATCAAACATCTAACTTCAAACGCCTGTAATGCCGTCATTTTGTAATATTTTAAATTAAGGGGGGAACACCAGTTGTAACTCAAAAAATAATGCTTTTTTCAAGAATATTTTCCAAAAGAACAATGAATCTTTTTAAAGAATACTATTTATTAGTTAAAAGTACATGTAAAAAGCTGTAATTTAAAAGAAAAAAAAAATTTTTTTAACAAAAACTTTTGGAGATATGAGCCATTGAAGTGGCGTCTTAAGAAAAAAGGCGAATTGCGGTGACCAGCATTCTGCAAGTATACTTCGTCTGAAATACAAAAATGAAATTGATTTACATTTATTATAAGATTATCTAGTTCGTGATCGAAGGATTTAAAAAAAAAAAAAATTTGACAAAATGGCGACCTGTCAAAGTCAAAAGTATGATTTTCGTTAAAAAAATACGGTCGATTTTCAGCTATATAAAAAAAAGTTTTGCATAAAAAAAAAATCCTTCGATCACGAACTAGACTTATATGTGTAAATGAAGCACACTAAATTTTAAATAAATCGGTTTAATGGTATTCGAGTAATCGTGGTCACCGACTTGGAAAATGTCATTTTGAGAAAAACGCATTCAAAGTTTCAACTTACTTTTTTTTGTTCAGAAGAAATTTTGTTTCCAAGTAACAAAGAGTCATCGATTCCTGGACCATATAATAACTCTTCCGCAGTGGTTGCCGTTTCTAAATCATAGGAAAAGGCCATCTGTCGTTAGGGTCAGTTATGGCTGGCCACCTTGTATGAAGCCACGGGACGCGCCGATGCAGTGTTCTGTATATCTCATTTATTTTTCACCGGATCAACTTTGAAATTTACAGACACATTTCTAAATATGTATACTTTAAGAAAATGCACAAAAAAAAAAATTGATTTTTCGAAAGTTACAACTGGTGTTCCCCCCTTAAAAAAGTTATTATACATAACTTATATTGTACACTTTAAGGTAAGCTTTATTTCAATTTAATAAACTTTATTATTTTTTATTAATTTTGAAAAAACATGCACTTACACGAGTTTCTACCCTTAACAATTAATTAAAGACTTACATGTTAATTAATTTTTTTAAATATGTACAATTTTTATTTACAACAAAACAAACATTATAAACGTAAATTGTTATGTATCTGTGAGTCCTAAATTTTACATAATTTTTAGAGGAAACTTAAACAATTAACCACTCTGGTAGTCATAATGGACTTGACGATATGCTGAAGTTAAAACTGTCGTTTGTGTTGAATGCTTCACGATGGTGTCTGGACTACTAGGATTCTCGATATCAGCAATTGCACCTTGGTATCCTTCTAAATTAGTTCTTTTAATAGTCATTCCAGTTTCGTAAATATCACTTGCATGGTGCTGTAACGGTGGAGAATGATATACTGTAAAAATATATTTTTCTTATACACAATAAAAAATCATTAAATTGTTTTAAAATATATTCTCTAAATTTTCTCAATAATATTATCAAAGAAATTAGTTGCTCTACATACATTGAGCAATAGCAATTTCATTTCTGGGATCTCCTAGAGTGAATCTCGCAGGTTTTTTTGACGCTGAACACGAATCTGAATTTAATTGTTCCATCACCCTGGGTTTTTGAGAAATTTCATCTTGAAAATTTTAAAAATGCAATTTTTAGGGTACTTTTTGTTGTTTTTATAAGGGTACACAAATTTTGAGGTTTTTGTGATATGCATATGAAAGCTCATACCTTGTTGAAAAATTTCCAATTTAGATATTTTAAAAATATTTATTTTTGTATGAGATATCCTTGTTTGAAGTTTGGGTTTCAAAAAATTAATAGGATTCGTTAAAACTTGTTTCTCGAGGGTTTCCAGGGTCAGGATTTTGAAAAAAATGTGGGTAAAGAATCCAAAAAACGTGTTTTTGAAGGTTTTTAGTATTTTTTCTTTTTAACCTTAACATGCTAGAGACTTCTATTTAGGGTTAAAATAAATCTTAAATAGTTCTGAGTTCAGATTCATGTTCAGCGTCAAAAAACTTAGAGGATGTACGCAATTCCAGAAATAAAAAAAAATAAATTCTGTTGCACACTAATATTTTGCGTAATAGTTATCAGAGTTTTATTATTAATTCTACAATGTAAAAATATTGTCAAAAATATTGTGAAAATCTCGAAGTCAATCACGGTGTTCTTGAACCAAGTTTAAATCAAAGGTCAAGCGAAATGAGATTTTTCTGTTGATTTCAATTCAAATTTTGTTTTAAAATTAATCATATTAAGAAAATAACCAAATGTAACTAACAAGGAGAACTCACTATTGGTTACAGGCTTTGGAAAATGGTATGTATATTTTCATATAGAAGGTCCTTAATTTAACACAGTTATGCTATTTTTAGCGGCTAACAGAAGGACTTTTTTTTAAAAAATTATTTTTTGTTTTCACGCATACATAATTAAAATTTTTATTTCATAAGGGCTTCATTTTATTAAGGCTTTTTTAATTTTCTTTTTCTTAAGAAAAAATTTTCCGTGTTTAAAAAAAAATCTTAAAAATCCATACAAGGTTTTTTTGCTATCAGAGAGGTTTCTAATGTATTTTTGTGTCCTGAACACATATCAGGGTTCTAAAATTGCGTATAACGTTAGGATTTTGAGTGAAGTGAGGGTAAGGATCCCCAAAAATGTGTTTTTGAGGGTTTTCAGTAATTTATTACTATAACCCAACGTGCAAGACACTTATACATAGGATGAAATTAAAGGCTAAGATGTACACTTTAAGTCCCATATGCGCAAGATAAACAAAAATTTTGAAATTTTTAAAAAATGGGTTAATAACCCTAATAAACTTTTTGGCTGTCTTCAACCTAACTTTTTCAAAATTAAAAGTTTTTTTATCATGAACATATGGGTCTTAACGTGTATATCTTAACCTTTAATTTAAGCCTATGTATTAATGTCTTGCACGTCGGGTTAAAGAGAAACAAAATACTTAAAACCCTCAAAAACACATTTTTTGGGGTCCTTACCCCCACTTTACTCAAAATCCTGACATGAAACGCAATTTTAGAACCCTGATATGTGTTCAGGACACAAAAATACATTAGAAACCACTCTGATATCAAAAAAAAACTTATAGGCCTGTGCTATTGTTTTCTTTGCTGCACGCATTGCATTTCAAAATTAAAATTTTTTTTTATTTTATTCGTAATAATCACTTTTTTGAATCATTATTAATTTTATTAAAATTTTGAAAATAATTGAGTTGTACAAAGAGTCACAATTGAAGTTATTTACAAATAAACAAATATTACATTTTTTCTGTGTTATTTTCTTAATTTTAGCTTGAATCGAAATATTAATTCTTTTAAAAGTTTATTTAAAACCTTAAAAACCGTTGTAAAGGCCATACATTTTTTTAAAGCAGCTAAACACACTAAAAATTTTAATTTGACTTTTTACATAAAAAATATTCTTTCTTTAACAACCCTTTAAGTTGTTTCATCGAAATCAGAGAAAAAGACAAAATTCTGTTTGGAAATCAGAAAAAAGTTAGTGAAAATAAAATTTTGTGTCAGCGCTGATTAAATTATATTAAAATTTAATATGATTTTATTTTATTGAAATAAATTAAATGAACAAGTATGTAATTAATTAATTTAATTATAAATAAATAATTGTTGAAATTAATAATAATTTAATAAACAAAATTATTTTTAAATCAATAAAATTAAGGAACAATCAAAATCTAAAAAATTCTTATTCTTAAATATTTTTAATTGTTATATAACAAAAGTAGTAATAATGATAAATTATTTTCATTTAATTTTTTAATTAATTATTATTGTTTCCTTCAATTTACTAAAAAAATGATAACTATTATCATTAATTTTTTGACAAATATGATAAATTTAAAAATTTTAATATTATTTAATATTATTGTTTAATAATTATTAAAATTAAATTATTATTATAAATAATAATTTTTTAGTAATTGTCGACAGTATGAAGTATGAGTGTGTATTGTAAAGAGTGGGGAATATTGCACAGTAGGGTGGCCCAAAAAAAATAGTCATGCTGCCGCCCCCAGAATTGTTCAAAATGGAAAATAAAGAGACCCGTATTTATTTATTTTGAAATTATTTAATATTTAATGGCGCCGCCAGGCCCTTGAAGTTTCCCATGTATTTTGTGTCGGGAACAGATGATTTGATGAACATTTAAAAATTGTTTAAACAAATTATTGTTGTTATTATTTAATTTTTCAAAATAAAACTATAAAGATGCAGTTTTTTCAAAATTTTTCAACTTACCTTGCTGACTAACATAATAAATAAAAAGTAATTGTCAAAGTTAACAATATCATTTGTTTAAACAAATTATTATTGTTATTTATTAATATTTTAAACACAAAGCTAAGAAGTCAAAGTTTTTTCTTAATAATTTTAAAACTTTCGTTGCTGGCTACAATTACTAGTGATGAGAAATTATCAAAGTGTTAGATTAAAATTTGTTTAAACAAATTATTGTTCCCTCTTAATTTGAATCAGTGAAATTTTCACTGATTTGGATTCAGAAAACGACTTCTGGCTGTTTCGATGAGTGAAATAGCTAGAAGTCGGTTACTGAGCCCAAAATGATGAAAATTCCACTGATTCAAATTAAGAGAGATGTTATTCATTGATTATCTAAAAAGTTTTTTCTGAATTTTATATTATATTTTGACCTGTTAAATACGATTCTGGTGCATGAAATTTTAAAAGATTGGTTGATTTTATTATACTTATTATTAGACAAAACTTTGGATCGCTAATTACAAAGCTGCCATTAAATTCGTCTTCAATGATCCCGAAAATCTCCATTTAACGAGTTTCATACGAATGCGATTAGTTTTTAAAGAATCTCGTGTCATACTTGATCCGTAATTTTGAATTTTTTAAAATTGACATCAGATTTGTTATCAGCGACCTCAAAAACTTCTACGTAATGTGTTTTAAGCCAATTCGGTAAATTTAAAAAATAAGCCTACCATATTGTATCTGCAAGTTAAAATTTTTTAAAAGTAACTTCAGATTTGCAATCAGCGACTGCAAAATACAGCGAGTAAGGAAGTATAAGTTAATTTAAGGAATTTAAAAAAATTTTGCCCCTAACATGGGCTATTTAAATGGTGCAGCTATTATACTGCAGAACATGTTAGAAAGGGATCTTTTGTATTTGCCTTGTGGGCATCACATTTGTGAAATCGTTTTGAGAAGTGTCTTTGATGTTAAAATGCCTTCCTCATCTGGTCCCAATGTACCTTTATTAAAAGGTTTTAAAGAATTTTGGCCACAAATTGATCAGAATAAAATCAAAACTGGATTTCAGGATACAGAAATTAAAGATATTTTAAAAGATGAAAAATCCCAACTTGATAACTTTATAAATGATACTTTAAATTTCAAACATCCTCGTGATGATTATAAAGAACTGTTAATTCTTTCTAAGCTTTTTCTTGAAGAACATCCGACTTGCATGAGTTTTTATCGTCCAGGCGCTTTTCATCATGCACGTTGGATGTCCAAAGCAATATATTGTTTAAAAATATTTTTTTTTAAGATCAGTTTAAGCGAACTGCAAAGGAAAAGAAAGCCATTTATGATATATGTTTGTTCACTGTAAAAGTTTATATTAAAGTATGGTTTGAAGCACCAATGGCTAAAAAAGCACCATTTAATGATCTAAAGTTATGCAAAGATTTAATAAGATATAAAGATATTGACCCTGCTATATCTCAAGCCGCAAGCAATAAAATAATGAACCATTTGTGGTATCTAAATTCAGAGAATATAGCTTTGTAATTTTTTGATGATGAAATTTCTGTTCAAACTAAAAAAGCAATGATTAATTCTCTTAAAGAAAAAGTACAAAACGAAGAAGGTATTAAGCGAATAATGATACGTGAAATTAATGAAATGAAAAACAGGAAAATCCAAGACTTTGTTTCTACGCAAACAAAACGATTCTTTGAAAAATTAAATTTAAGTACAGATTTTTTGGAAACAGATCCTTCAACTTGGAGCAACGATCCAAGTTATAAAGAATGTAACGAAATTATAAAGAAACTGAAAGTCGTCAATGATACTGCAGAAAGAGGTGTTAAACTGATTTCTGAATGCAATAAAATTTTAACAAATGATGAAAATCAAAAGCAGTTTTTGCTTCAAGTTGTCAAAGATTATAAAACTCGTTATCCTAATACTAACAAAGAAACATTGTTCCAGGCTTTATAAAAGTTTCACTTTAAGTATATAAAGTTCTAAATATGTAAGTTTTATATAATTTTAATATATGTATTATTCAATTTAATTTACTAAAAATTGAATTAAAATTTAAAACTGCATAAATGTGAATAAAGAAATTTAAAAAAACATT